CAAAAATATTTTTTTGAATTTTTTCTTGTTTGGAAAATTTAGTAGTTTTGGAAAAAAAAAAACGACTCTCATACCACATGGCAAGTCACATGGTTTGAGATACCACATGTCAAGCCATATGTTTTTAGAAATATCACATGGCTAGCCATGTGTCTTGGGTGTTTTGGAATTCTATAAATACCCCTTTATTTTGTTGTTTAAGGAGAAGAAAAAATTTTTGTTTCAAAGAGAAAAGGAGAGAAAATTTTGTTTCAAAAGACTTGAGAAGAGAAAATTTTGGTTAAGAGAATTTTTGTTTCAAAAAAATCTTGAGGGAGAGAAATTGATTTTCAAAAACCTTGAGTTATTTTGAGAGTAAGAGAGTTTTTTTTTTTTTTTAAACCAAAAGCTTCCAATCAACTTTTCTATCCATTGATATATACCACTTAAAAATTACATTAAAATTTAAACTTGAAACTTCTTGCTGAGATTTCAAAGCATACTCCATAACCATAAGGGTGTTATGAAGAAAGTTTGGTAATCAAAAAATTCATCATTTCATCCAAAGGTGAGTTTTTGTAATTTTTTTATTTATTTTATTTCTATTTCTCTTATCTTCAAATATGTGATTTAGCTTGTTAGAAATGGTTAGTTGAACCACCTGACGTAATTTCTTTATTTTCTTAAATTTAGTCTATTATTTTAAATATGTGATTTGTAGTTTCTTTATTTAGAATTTTATTTCTTATTTTATATATGTGGTTTAGCTTATTAAGAAATGGTCGGTTGAGTCACCTATCATTAGATGTTGTAAATAAATTAGTTATATGATTCGTTAGATTCAACTTGATATAATAATTCCCAACCCTTGTCGCATTTTATGTATATATTGCATTAGAATTTTGCATTTGGAGTCATGCATATTTTCTAACTTTGTTTTGTAACTTCCCGTGAGACGTCAGTAAATACTATGTGAGTGTTTATGTTTTCGCATCCTGCTTGTATGTGTGTTTTTTATTATGTCGAGCATCCTACCATACAACTACTTGCTTAAATGATATATTTCTATGAATGCTAGTAGATGGAGGTTATGTTGTTCAATTTGGGATAGCATTGATTTTATACTTGTGAACTCGATTTCCTTGAAGTTGCACATTATTCAAAATTCTTTAAAAAATACACGAAATCATATCATTCCAAAATGAATAACTATACTTGATTACTTCATATAGTAATTTTAGCATTTATTAAATAATTAAAATACGCACATTATTCAAAACTTTTTAAAAAATACATGAAATCAAATCATTTCAAAATGAATGACTATACTTGATTGCTTCTATAGACACCCCATTTTTGACCACCCTTAAGACTTGGACGCTTCAGGTTGAACACTCAATGATGAAAAGTTACGCTGTACAATCGTTCAAATTCTTCACCAAAAGGCTTCGGTTTCTAATCCCAACCTTACACCCCATTTTGACCAAAACTATTTTAGACCTTAAAACCCTCTTTTTCAAAATATTTTTCTAAATGTTTCTACGATGTTTCGAGACTCACATTTCGTTTAAAATTTGCATTTTTCGGTAAATCAAGTAAGAACAAAGTGAAAATAAATGGAAGAGAGGTGAACTCTTTAAAAAATATTTAAAAACATCTTATTCATAGGTTTGAAATTGAAGGAAATAAGAGGGGATGGAAAATAACTAGTTTAGGAAAAGGTTGAGCATCAAACTGTTAAGAAATAAATGAGCATCCTTCACTAAATTAGGCATTTCTCTTTGTACACTTAGAATTTAGATGTGAGACTACCACCATTAGAAAGTAGACTTCTGAGGATTCAATTTTGACTCAAAAATCACCTAAAATCGAGTCCGGATGAGGGAGATATGGCCTTTTAAGTTGGGCATCAATCTGTTAAGATAGAAATGAGTAGCCTTCACTAAATTAGGCATATCTCCTTACACACTTAGAATTCAGATGTAAGGCCACAACCATTAGAAAGTAAACTTCTGGGGCTTCAATTTAGACTCTAGAATCACCTAAAACCGAGTCTGGAAGAAGGAGATATATCCGTTTAAAGTCAGGCTTAAGAGTAGTTTTTTGTGGCCGGCCGACCAACTTTTAGTGGTCAGCCGCCAAGTGTCCCGACTGGTAGATATTTTGCTACCAACTATCCCCCCATGTGCATGCCCTACACCAACTGTCTCTATATAGATATTTTCGACTGGAGAAGCTATTTTTCTATAAATACAAGCCCACCCCTCTTGTTTTTAGGTTGAAAAAATTTGTGAAGACTCCAAAACTTGCTAAACACCCTTCCTCTCTATCTTGCAATATACATACACTATACATACACTTCCTAAACCAAAAATTTGAGTCTCTTTGCTAAGATTCTTGAGCTAAAATCTCAGCCCTCGAGAGTGAAAGCCTTGTGATTTGTGAACAAAAGAGTAACTCATCTTCAAGAGGTATAACTTTGGCCATCTTTACACTACTTCTTCCTTCTCTTTTCTTGCTATTTTTACACTATTTTTGGACTGTTTTTATGGGCTGAAACTTGTGACTTAAAGCTACTAAAGGTGGAGGGGTTAACTACCTTTTTTTGAACCTTGTTCTCTAAGCTTTTGTCCTTGTGTTTCCCACTTCTTTCTCAATTTTTAGCCACTACTTTTCAGAGTTTTAGAATGCTAAAATATGTGATTTTGAGGTCCAAAAAGTAGAAGGGTTAGCCACCCCTCCTTTGGCTTGTTTACTAGCTTTAATTCTCTCCAATTTGTGCTTACTTTTCTAGCTTTTCCATACTAATTCCAACATTGTTTTTGTGAGTTTTAGGACTGTTTTAGCGTATTTATTTCATTTATGCTTTGTATAGTAGGCTTGTAGTGTTGTAGCCCTCATAGGTTTGATGGTTTAGGCCTTAGACACCGATCTATTTGAGTTGATAGTTTTTATTTTCATAGCTTTCATACATATGCTCACACTTGTGCTAATTATCTCTGCAACCTCCCTCCTTTCTTGGTTTTCTTTGTTTGAGAGTCGTTTCAAACGAGTGTTATTTAAGGCATGCGAAAGAGATCCTTCCATACTTAATGGTTTAATCTCTTCGGAGGTTCATTACCAATGCATGACATCTCTCTCATGCCAAGAACAACTCTTTGTTTGACACTTCTCATCATTAGTGGACATAATTCTCATTTTTAGACTAAATGATTAAAGAATGGAAAGGTAATTAAAAAAGGACCAATAAAATTGGACTAAAAGATGTGCAAAAATGAAATTAAGTTGGGTTCAATCGGACGTTAATTGAACTTATTGAGTTTTGAGTCATTTCATACTTTTCAGTGATGATAATGGTTCAAGAGTCAATGTCTACCACTTCTCTTGAAGTAACTTCATGATAGGGAGGAGGTTTTGTTAGTTGAGCCTTTGTCCCATTAGTTCATATAGATTATCATGCAACGAGTTTGTGACAATTGATGGTTTGCGAACCAAGTCCACCCATCCCTTGATCTGTTTCATGATAGGGAGAGGAAGAGAGGACAAGCATCTCTTGAAAATACTCTGTTTGTGCTCTGTTTCTTTTCTGTGGCAGCAGGGCAGAGCCCAAAAATAGTGGCCGGTCAGCCACCTCACTTTGAGCAGACAGTGCCATTTTTATGGTAGAACAAAGCAGAGGTTGGGGTGAAAACAGATAATTTTTCTAACTGTGAAACAGAACAGTTCTAGCAGCAAAATAGAGGACTTTTTCAGGTGGAAATTCTTGTTCATGCATATGTAATTCCTCACTTCCCGTGGCTTGTGAAATTAATGCTAATTGTAGTATGTTGTACATAAATTATTAGTTTATTTGAAACTTGTAATAGCTAGCTCATTAATTAGTTAGTTTAATTCTAATTTGTAATAATTAGTTAGCATTGTTCATTTTGGTGTTATAATAGTTAGTTAATTAGGACATTCATTCGAACCTTATTGCGTGAGGGCAAATATGTAATAATGTGTGTATGTCTCCTAGCCCCACGTCTTTATCCCTTTTATTTACTTGTTTATAATGGATTGCATGTAGCATCATATTTTCCTTAGCATTTTCCATGATGTGCATTCATTTGGTTTGCACGCACAAGGTTAAGCTCATTATACTAATCAATGTCAATTCAAATTCCTTAATTGAATACTCGCTTTACGCATATCTTGAATTGACTCACATACCATGTTAGGAAGCCGAATCCGATAGTTGCATTTTGTATGTGTTACATTAGTCACTTACATATTAGAGCATGCATTTAACTAACCATTTTCTTTCTTTGGCTCGCCTCGAATAATTGGGGTAAGCATTTTTTGCTTTAGCATATTGCATGGGTGCGATTGTTGCCATGTCGAGGCATATATACCATGAGGCTAAGTGTTTCGTTGATATACATGTTTAAATGTTAGTAGATGAAGACTAATTGCTTAAATTGGAATGATTTGATTAAAGTATATAAGAGATCACTTTTTCAAGTAGTACATATTCAAACACTTTTCAAAACAAATATAAAATTAAAATATTCTAACTTTTGCAAATTAGCCTATACTTATGTACATCATATAGTAAAATTAGCCTAATAATCATAACAAGAGCATAAAATGTAAATAAGAATCCATCATGATTAATAGAGGTCCATCTTTGATCGGGTGAGTAGAGTGCTCAATTCATGACATTTCCCTCTCATATCTAAGTTCCCGAACCAAGGCACTTTGGTGATGAAGGATAAGTGGTCTTTGGCATGAGTCTCAGATTTCCTAAATTTTCCAAAGATATTTAGGTGGCGACTCTGTAATCTGGCAAAGCGGTCCATTTTTGGCATTTTTTTTTATTCAAAATCGATTTTCTAAAAGATTTGTCGAATTTGGATTCATTTGTGTTTATCTATTTCACATTGCACTTGTAAAATCAGATTCAGAATCATAGGAGTCCGAACTGTAGGGCTATCGTATCCGAAAGAAGCACGAAAAGCAAGCTACAGCTTCATATAGTAATTTTAGCATTTATTAAATAATTATAATATGAACATAATATAAAGTCAATAAAACTCATATCATGATTTAGTAGAGACATATCTTTTAATCGGGTGAACGGAGATGCTCAATTAATGACGTTCCCTCCTCATACCTAAGATTTTGAACCGAGACATCTTTGGTTACGACGAATAGTGGCCTTGGCACGAGTCATGGGTTTTCTAGTTTTCCCAAAAGATTAGGTGGGGACTCTGAGATCTAGTGATGCAGTCTATTTCTGGCAAAGGTTTTGCAATAATGGATTTTTTACAAAAGTTGTCAGATCTGGACTCTCATCTATGTTTCACATTGCACTCGTGAAATTAGATCAAAGAAATCGAGAGTCAGAACAGTTTAGAGATTGGGTATCCCCCGGACCATGTGACAATGAGCTAACCAATCTGCATCATTCTTGAAAGGGTTGTATCCCAATTTTTTCACTCGGCTTTTCCAATCTCTCCATTTCTTCCCAAATGAAGACATAATTGTTCTCTACATGGATTCATCTGCATCCATACGGGCCTACATTACAATTATACACACTTGTAATATGCAATGTCAACTACACTCGTAATATGCATTTCACATGGAATCCAATCAACTGAAATAACATAATGATTTCATAAAGAAAAAGCTGCCATAAGAGCTTTCCCCTTGTCTTTTCTTTTCTTTCTCATATATATATATATATACACACACAATGGTAAAAGCTCTAGGTTGATTAAAACATAGGATTGCTTTGAGAAGCCGCATTATTGAATGTTAGTCACTCTAATTTACATACACTTTCAGTGTTGAATCATCGATCTCATGCTACTAATTTATTCCCTGTAAATATAGCACTAACAGTACAAGCAGGACCTAAAGAGCAATAGACATCCAATTCAACACAACCAACAAGCCAGGTCAAAAAGTCTCAACAAGAAATTAAAAAAACAAAAATGGTTATTTCAGCAGAAAAGACAGAAAACAGAAAATCAGAACATAGATGAAACTGTGCACCATATTCTTATGGGCCTAAAGCAAACAGAATAAGAGTTCCAAAATGAGATGTAACAATATATATGTTATGTGTGTGTGCCAAGAAAGAACTCCCATGTTTCACAATTTCTAATTGCCTTGACAACAAAACAACAATTCAAATGAAACCAAATGATCAATGGAACAAATGACACAACAAATCATTCTGCAACCACTAATTTGTTTTAGGGAACAAATAATAGATGTTTAGTAGTAGTTGAATATAAGCTTGTACGTGCCAGCTGAAACTAAGCCATGTGATGTACTACCGCTACGTGATGTGGTAGGAAGACTGCTTGGTGGATACCATGACGTTGGTGGATCAGGTGTGACTCTCATCTAGAGTGTGGCCTGACTCTCATCTAAACTAGAACAACTGTTAGAGCTTGACTGCTCAATCTCACTAGAAGAACTCTTGTAGCTAAAACTCATTAAATGTTGAGTGTCGCCTATGACTAGAGCGTCGCTGATGTGCCATGATAATCTATAAAGAAACTACACACATACGATTTAGGACATGATAATCTAAAAAAAAAAACACTACAAACATAAAGAGTAAGGACATGATAATCTATAAAGTTATTTTTTATCTAAAGTAAAGCCCTTGAGCTAAACTGGAAAGACCACCACCATATTTAATAGCAGAAGTGTAGCAACCCTCACTTTACTCTAGTCATGCTTGCATGTATTTACATGATCTTGTCTTGTAAAGTTGCATTTACAAACCTTAATTTGTTTCGCATAAGTGTTGCTTGCATGTTTTGTTCCTTGCTTGGTGTGAGTTTAGCTGAGGTCATCTTAAGCCTACCTAGGACCATCTTGGAACCACCTTGGTTGACCTCCACCCTCACCCTGACATGTTAGCCGGGATGTCATTATCTAGGCCGAGATGTGTATCATCTAGGCCGAGATGTTATACCCAAGTGATCTTGTCCCTGGACTGGTACGACCTAGACCGAGGTGTGGCACATCTAGGCCAAGTGTTGTCCTTCCTAGCCGAGATCATTGAGATCTTACTTGCCGAAGCTTGTCCTAGCTGAGATCATTACCCGCCGTAGTGCCCATGTCACCTTACTTGTTGCTTACACTTTGTCATGCTCTTGTCTTATCAATCTATCACCTTTTGAGGAGATACAACCAGTCGTTGCCACGTGTCCCAGCAGAGAGTTAAGTCTGTCGGCAGAATTAGAAACATATCATTTTGTGCCATATCTCTTGCATGGTAGAGAGAGAAGCTCTAGGAGGAGGAGAGGAAGTTGGAGTGAGAGAGCTAGATCCCAAGCTTGATCTTTAGAGTTTGAGCCGTTTAATCCATGTTTTGAGATTAGAATCTTGATTTACTCTTGTTATTCTTTATGTTGATCCGATTGTATTACATGATCTAGCATGATTCATGAGTCATGCATTGATTTAAAGTTGTTTTAGAAAGAGAAAATGATGTTCTTATGTTCTTGAGATAAAACCATGTTTTGATCTGAAAGCTTGTAACAAGATCTATGTTTTTGTGTTTGTTTTCATAAGATTTTCAAGTAAGGGTACCCAGGTCCGTGTTTTCAAACTTATCTCATGAAAACTCAGATTTCGAATGAAGAAGTTATGATTTTAGCATTTCATGTTCTTGTTCTTGTTCTTCATGTTCTTCAAAAGGGAAACCCAGATTTTTCCAGACTTCACTTCTTTGAATGTGGTCGTCGAGAACACGCCTCGGCCAAGGGGTGTGGGACCTCGGCCTAGACCTGGTTAGTACCCAGCATGTTTTCTCGAGGTTAAAAGGCAGTGTTGTAACTCCCAGCATGTTTTGCTTTGTTTTGACTTGATTTTGAAAAAAGTGCCGAAATCCTTTCCTGTTATGTAAAGCTTGTTTTAAGAATGCATTTCATATCCATCTTTGAACATCTCACCTTGTCTTAATGAAACGCATTCAATGGGATTTATTATGTACTTGTAGGCCTCGAATCCTTGCTTGTAATTCCTACACCCGAAGAACTATGTGAGTGGTATTTTTAATAAAATTATGTTATAAAGTTTTGATAAAGTTTTGCTTTGCTTTGTTTTGGAAAAAGTATTTGTTAAGCATGAATGAATACACCTAATTTGTGTATCAAGTATTAGCCTTGTTTTGGATGACATTCTTGACAAGTCTGTACGTGCTAGGGGACTTTAAACCTTTGTAGCACAAGTCCGTACGTGCTAGGGGACTTTAAACCTTTGTAGCACAAGTCCGTACGTGCTAAAGGACTCTAAGCTTTTGTAGCACCTTTGTTTAATGTCATCCCTTGTATTATATTGATGCTAGTAAGCATCCCTTGAAGATTTAAAAGACTTGATTGATGGACTTAGTTCATCCTTTGATTTTGTATAGTATGCTATGTATTGTTTAGAAAGAAGATCTTGGATATCATTCATGCAAAACCTTTATTACTGGTATCATTCACTGAGTATCTAAGCTCACCCTCTCTTATATATATGTAGGTGATGAGCAAGAAGGCAGCGACGCCTAGATGATTATTTGCAACTTGTTTGGATTCGCATTTTTGTAGCATCTTGAAGATCATGCTTCTTGGCTTGTAGTTACTTCTTTTGTTTATGTCGGCTTGAGAAGCCTTTTGATCAAGATGTATTTTGTACTTTATTTCATTGTATCCAAGTTGTAAGCTATATTAAAATGTATGTCATTTCATTTGATCTATGCACAACTCTTGTGGACTATTTAGTTTTAAATTTATTGCTTCCGCATATGTAAGCCCCATATGTATGCTCTGACTGTGTGTGAATCTTTACAAGTTGGCCTCAGGTAATCTCAGATTACTGGCCATCACAACACCATTCTACTAGGGGCGGAATGGGGTCGTGACAAGAAGAGTACATGTGACAGCTCAAAATGGCCATTCAAATTTAAGGCAATGTCCATTAGGCTCATAAATATACAAAGGATGCTGTAATTTGAAAATTAAAACAAGTCAGTTTCATTTCAAAACAGAATCAGAGAACATGAAAGGTAAAATTGGCCATTTAAAAAAAGCTACAATATATATATATATATATATATGTACTGCTACTACTCAAAAAGAACTCCAAAGAAAAGTAACAAGACAATTGCTTCTCATGAAGAAAGCTACAATATTCATGTTATGAAAAACAAAAAGACAGACTTATATCCCCACAATGGAAGATGCAAATTAAACTAAATCCTAAAGCACAGCCATGTGTAGGTCCTTCTATAAAATATATATTCATGCTATCATAGGAAAGAAGGCTTGGAATTGTTTGGAACAACTGGCAAAAAAAAAAAACCTTAAAATTGGGACCACTTTGACAATTTTGATAAGTCGGATAAAACAAAATCTAATGTCATGGAAGTTAGAAGAATTGAATCACTCTTGACTGATGAAATGATTCAAGACATTTGTAGTACAAGGGAGATTATGGGACATGAAACACATGATTGTTTGGTTAGTCACATGTTGTAGACGTCCCCCGAACGCCCCGGGAGGGTGAGCTCCCGTTCTGTTCATTTGGGGTCACTACAGCTCAGGACTCTCAAATTGTCACAGTTCTAAATCTGAACCAAAGAGTCCAAATCCTGCAAATTGTTTTGAGAAAACAGATTTTGAAAGAAGTGCCAAACATGGACTGCTTTGCCAGATACAGAGTCGCCACCTAAATATTTTATTTTGGGAAATTTAGGAAACCCTGACTCGTTTGCCTAAGGCCACGTGTCCGTCATCACCAAGGTTGCCTCAACTCGGAAACTTGGGTACGATTGGGGAAGGTCACTTCGTGAGCACCCCCGCTCGCCCGATCAAATATCGACCTCTACTAACTATGATATCTAGTTTTGAAAACATTATGCGTTCTTATTCCGGTTATTAGCCTAGATTTACTATGTGATGCGCACAGCATACAAGTATAGACTGGGTCGCCTGAATTGGAACAAAACATCTCATGTTTGTTTTGAAAATGGTTTGATGGTGCTACCCGCATAAGTGTGTAGTGAATCTGCAGCTGACATCGGCTGTCGATGCTCTGCCGGGGAGTTTGGACATGGTCAGATCTGTCCAGATGAGGGATTGGAATATCTTGTCCCATTCCGGTTCGTGCTTCGCACTTGGCTTGATACCTCGTTGCTTAGAGGATGACAGAGCTTTCGGCCTTTTGTTGGGGTCATTTCGCCTTGTTTCGGGGCTGTTTTGCCCCTCATTTTGCTACTG